GGGGTGTTCTACCAGGTCTGTGCCTTCAGAAGACTCTAACATGGGGTTGTAGGAGAGGCAGTTATAAGCATTTATTCCATATGGCAGGGAGCTTTCCTAACCTAAATTCATGGTTTTGACCACAAAGGCCTCTTGCTGAGAGCCAGTTACTGCAGAGTAGAGGGCCAGCCCCGGAGCAGGGCCGTATGAGTTCGAATTCTGATGGCTGTATTACCTTGGAGGAGTTTAACTTCCTGTGTTTTTAGCTTCTCATCTGTAAAATGGGAGTGGTAACAGCCACTTACCTCATGAACATGTGAGATGCTAACCGTGTTGCCTAGAACATGGCCTAACATTAATACTACCACCTCAGTACTGCCATCACCGAAGAAGCTGATTCATGTGAGTTACCATCCTCTGCACCTGTGCTGTTGTGCCCGATCCCCCATCTCTATGCATTTCCCTGAGAAGATTGCTCAAGGAGAAATCCAAGCTTGGGTGGTAGGCTGCCGAATGTATCTCCTTGTTCCTGTTTTGATCTTTGTTCCTGTTTTTATTCCTGTTCCTGTTTGTGTTCCTGTTTTGTGGGGAGTATAAAAGGGAGCTATGCAGTTGAAAATACAGCATTTGGTTCTTTACCAGATGACTCCTTCTCTTTCTTTCTCTCGCCCTCAGCCCTCCGCCCAATCCAAGGAACTCAGTCAGCTATGCTGGCGTAGCTGACAGATTCAGTTACATTAAGAGCATCCAACGAGGAGACTGGAGAGATGGCTCAGTGGTTAAGAGCACTGGCTGATTTTTCCAGAGGTCCCAGCCCCAGTTCCCAGCAGCCATATGGGAGCCCATTACAACCTGTAACTCCAGTTCCAAGGAATCCAACATCTTTTTCTGGGCTCTTTGGACACCAGACATGCAAAGAGTAAACATACATGTATTCAGGTAAAACACTCATATACACAGAACAACAAAAACTACCTTAACAAACCAGCCAATGGCACCAAGATTTTTAAGATTTATTTAATGTATATGAGTGTTTTGTCTGCATGTGTAGCTGCACCCCAGAAGAGAGCATCAGAATTCATTATAGATGGTTATGAGCCACTATGTGGTTGCTGGAAATTGAACTCAGGACCTCTGGAATTAGCAGTTGATGCTCTTAACCGCTGAGCTATCTCTCCAGCTCCAAATGTTTGTACAAGCTACAAGCTACCATGCTGGAGTAAAGACAGCTGGAATGTCAATAGGAAAGAAGCCTTGTTCTATTACTGCCGCTTCCTAGTTACATTACCTGGACCACAGCTCCTTCTGAGTCTGAGATTCATCCTAAAAATGAAAGCAGTTCATCTGGGTGTGGCAGCCCAAGCTTTTAATCCCAGCACCCAGGAGACAGCAGATGGCAGATCTTTCCGGGTTCTAGGCCAGTCTGGTCTACATACCAAGTTCCAGGCCATCCAGAACTACCCAGTAAGACCCTGTCTCACACCAAAACCAACAACAACCAAGAGAAAGTAAGGCAGCAATAATTGCCTACCTCTCGAAATTCCTTAGATGACTGGCTGATGATGGAACCATGAAAAATAGGTTTTAGCTTGGTTGGGTTTGGTTTTTTGAGACAGGGTCTCAGTGTATAGCCTGAGCTGGCATCAAATTGGCAATCCACTGTCTCAGCCTCCTAAGTGCACAGTTGTGTACCACTACAGCTGTCATGAGACATGAATGAACACTCTAGAATACAAAAGGAAATTATCAATGTGAGGCTTCTTCTGCATGGAGAGAAGCTTAGGCCAAGACGAGTCAGTGCTTCTGAAACTGTTAAGTCTTGTTTTTTATATCATCTTATGTCCCCAGAAGCATGCATGTGTATACTTCATTCATTCTGCAGTGAGGGGAGGGGCCATTTAGGACAGTGGTAGAGACCGTGGGAGTCAATGGGTGGAGCTAATGGATCTCAAGCCTGTGGCGTTCTGTGAAACAAAGGCACACATAAATATGAAAATGGCTAAGGACATGCAGCTGTGGCTTAACGGCAGACTTCTATGGCTGCTCTGTTAGGATGCAGGTCAGGAATATCCTTTGGGGATGGACGTCTGTTCCTAATGAGGAGGTACCATGTATGCAGGCTCTCCATAGTAACCCTGAATGAGGGATTAGTCTTCTAAACACCAGAATCTCACTGCTTTGGTGCTGGAGGCTGGAAGACAATGATGAAAGTGACAGAGCTGGCTCCTTCTGAGGTCTCACTCCTTGACTTGTTTGATGGCTATCTTCTCATGGGTTGTGGTGATACACACCTGTAATCCCTGTACTTGGGAGGCTGAGACAAGAGGATCTCAGGTTTGAAAACAGCCTGCTCTACACAGCGAGACACTATCTTAAAGAGAAGGGGTAGAGATGAGAGAAAATGCCTTTTCTTTATTGTCTTTGTTTTTGTTTTGTTGTTTTTGAGACAGGGTTTCTCGGTCTAGACCCGGTTATCCTGGAACCCACTTTGTAGACTAGGCTGGTCTTGAACTTAGAAATCTGCCTGCATCTGCCTTCCGAGTGCTGGGATTAAAGCTGTGTGACACCACCGCCTGGTCACTTTCATTTCCTGTAAGGATGCTAGTCACACCAGGTTAAGATCTCTGCTACAAACTCTTTTTTTTAATTTAATTACCTTGTTAAAGACCCAGACTCCAAATTCAGTCAAATTTTGAGGCACTATGGATTACAATTGCTCTTTAGGACTCTGGGGGACACACTCAGCCCATAACAAAGGTGTGCCATTTCAGGAGAGCAAACCTACCTGCAACTGTAGGTATCCAATGGGGTCATCTAAGGCTGCAGAAACAAGAGCTTGTCACAATAACACCCCTAGAAGTTTTTCTCTGCCCCAGTCCAGCACCCTGCTCTGGAGACTAGAGACACAGCTGTCAGGGACCCTGGACATGGGAGACCATGTCTTCCTGACATGAGAATCTTGACTTTGCCATCAGACTTGAGGACACCCTTAGAAACAAATGTATACAACCTTGACACTTACTGCTCCCGTTTAAAGCACTGTTTCCAAACACCAGACTTCTAGTTCCTGAACAGACTCTACACCAGAAAGACCCTGTTCTCATCCGCATGTGGCAAGAGTCACAGGCAAGTGGCCCCGTGGGGCATCACTTTGCCTCCAGCTTCCCAGCACAGAGAGACCAGGAACAAGAAAACTTCCAGTTAATGATTCAGTCCAGCCTCCGACAGCCATCGGCTATCACCCTGGGAACTGGGTGGACCCCAAGACCGCTGATGCTTTAATATTTTAATAATTTTAAGGGTTTGAAAGAATGATGGAGGTGGGGAATGCTTTGCTCTGCGCTTCATTTATTCTCTCACACAATATGCACATCTTTCTCAAGTGCCTGCCATGTGCCGGAGCTCAGGGGAGAGACCAGGATGCAAGGACGCTTTGTGGAGGAGGGGCCTTCAGATGACCCTTGCAGATAGGGTAAGGTTTTGACAGGCAGAGGAGTTCCAGCTGGAAGGACATGAACAAAGGCCAGGAAACGGGAAGACAAACTGCATTTAGGATATACAGGGACCTGCAGTCTCACAGAAAGAATCAGGGAAAGGATTGTGTCTGGCTAGAGGAGCTGCCGTCTCCATGTGAAGGTTAGGATGTTCATCAGGGGAGGGAGAGCTCCCTTAGCCTCTGCTTGAAGTAAAAAAGAAGGAATGGAAGGATTAAATGGTGGTGAAGGTGGGGGAGAGATCTTCTTCCTTCCGGGGGCCTAGGGAAGAATGCAAAGAGAGAGGAAGAGAGAGAAAGCATCGATGGTTACGGCTGCTTTGCTGAACAAGCGCACTGTGAGTAAAGTCACTGGAGCTCTTGATTTAGCCGGTGTAGTGGGCGGTTGGATTTGCATGTCAGTGTGGGAAAAGTACTTGGCTGAGACCTATTTCTGAGCACTAAATCAGTCACCCGATGAATGATTTTGTTTGTATGCCATTTGCAAGATAAGTGCTGAGGCAAATACTTCCGTTTCAAGTAGGGGAGGGGGGCGTAGGGGAGCCAACAGAGGCTGACTCTGTTGCCTTGTAATGGCCCATAAGATTGACTGACGTTAGTGCCTATAGCAAGATCCCTGAAACACAACCATAGGTGAACATCCGTTGCCTTCCCAAGAACAAGAAGAGGGTCTGGGGCAGCATCACCATGTCTAGAGGACAGCCTGTCTGCTAAGAATTGTTCATTTCAGCCAGCATGGAGACTCCTACCCAGTCTGGTCAGTCATGCTCCAACATTTGTGAGATTTAATTTTCTGAGCATCGAGGAAACAGTTTAAAAAAAAGAAGTTTTAAGATACTGTATCCCTTCTGATGCAAAGAAAAAGTAGAGAATATGCTTGTGATGTACCAAAGAATGAGAGAAGCTGACTCTCCAGAAATATCTGATACTGTTCAGAGAGATGGCGCAGGAAGTTCAAAATGGGACCTGAACTCGGTTATTTTCTAAAATTGCATGCTAGGTCAAACAAGACTTAAAGACATGGCAAATTATAAGTATAAGCTTAGATCTCTTGGTAGAGAAGAAAAGATTCTGTTTAAAGAGTATCACTGGGATGGGCAGATGGCTCAGTGGTTAAAGTACTTGCCGTGTAAGCATGAGGACCAGAATTAGGGTCCCCAGAACCCACAGAAATGCCAGGATGCAGTGGTAGCCTACTATAAGTCCAGCCTGGGAAGGCAGAGGCAGGACAAGCGGACTAGCCAGACTTACCATATTGGCTCTGGGTTCTACTGAGAGACCCTGCCTCAGTGAAGTAAGGTGGTAGAACCATCAGTGACAATTCTCATAATCAACCTTGGGCCTCCGCAATCATGTGCACCCACACACATGTATACACATACTTGCATGCCATATGCATACCACGTGAACATGTGAAAATGGTAAAAAAAAATTATTGGACAATGGACCCTTAGCAAATCCACTTGACTCCACGAAGGCAGATAATAGCATCTGTTGTTGAGGACATGGGAAACACGGTCACATGTTACTGATGCAAACATAAACTGGTATAGCTGCCAAAAAGCTGGAGTCACCACACAATCTGACAATCCCATTTCTACGTATAGAAACAGATCCAGACAAGGATTTGCATATATAAGCATTTTCCTAACAGCCCAAGGTAGTAGTCACACAAACGTCCATTAGCTGACAAGTTGATAAGTAAACGTGTTACTGCAGGATGTGGAGCATTACTCAGCACTGAAAATAAGCTTAAAAGACATAGGGAAGGCTGGGCAGTGGTGGCGCACACCTTTAATCCCAGCACTTGGGAGGCAGAGGCAGGCGGATTTCTGAGTTCGAGAGTTCGAGGCTAGCTTGGTCTACAGAGTGAGTTCCAGGACAGCCAGGGCTACTCAAAGAAACCCTGTCTCAAAAAAACAAAACAAAACAAAACAAAACAAAACAAACAAACAAAAAAAGACATAGGGAAGCCAGGTGGTACCTTTATTCCCAGCGCTTGGGAGGCAGACGGACTCTGTGAGTTTGAGGCCAGCCTGGGGAAGGAAGGAAGGAAGGAAGGAAGGAAGGAAGGAAGGAAGGAAGGAAGGAAGGAAGGAAGGAAGAAAGAAAGGAGTAAAGAAAGGAAGGAGGAAAAAAGACACTTAGGCTAAGCATGTTAACACATACCTACAATTCTAGCACTTGAGAGACTAAGGCAGGATAATCCACTCAAGGCCAGCCAGGGCTATAGAGTGAGACTGTAACCCCAAGAAGAAAATAGTCTCAGACACAGAAGAATCTTAAGTGCATACTGCTAAATGAAGGAAGCCACTATAAAAAGGCTACATGTTATGTGACTCCAACTACATGAAAAGGCAATCTTATGGACACATAAATAGCGTAAACAATCAGGGAGGTGGCAGGAAACAGGTGGCGCCAAGGAGAATTTCAGGACAGTGAGATTGTTCTGCAGCGGAACCATAATGGTGTGAGCTCAGTACCTATTAGTGAGAACCAAAAGACTGACTCCTGCTGTCAGGTCTGGCTTTGGATGGTTGAGGTGAGTCAGTGGAGGTTTGTCAAGCCTCTCTCATGTACAAACAGCATGGTAAGTTGGTGGGGAGGAGCCTGACTTGTGGACAGGGCAAGGAATATGTGGATATTCTCTACACCTATTGCTCCAGTTCCCAAAAATCTAACCCTGATTTACAAAATGGCGTCTAAAACATAAAGACAATTGGAAAGAGTCCTCAGGCTGAGGAACACAGAAAGCCTCTAGAAACTGAGCAGGCAAGGATGTGGTTTATCCTCAGACTCCCCCAGCACTGAAATCCTGCTCATTTTTTTTTTTTTTGTATCCTTTGCCATGCAGGGTGGGGCCCTGGGACTCCATCTGGCTCGAAAGCAGCTTGCTACTGTGTAGCAGAGGCCTACCCAGGCCCTTGGCTCACATCCTAACCTAAGACCGAGGAGAACACAGTCTGGCTTCCACAAGGGGAGGTAGTACATTTGTGTTGTTGGAAGCAACAAGGGTGTGGTAATTCATACTAGCAGCTGGAGAAAACCCGTGTAAAGCTAGGCGTGTCGGCATAAATCTGTCATGGAAGCACTTGGAAGCTGAGGCTGGAGAATTGTCATGAGTTAAAGCCAGGCTGGGCTACATAGTGAGCTCCCAGTGGGCTGCAGTGTAAGATGCTGTCTCAAAAGAAGGAGAGGAGGAGGAGAAGGAGGAGGAGGAGGAGGAGGAGGAGGAGG